CTATTGGATGAGAGAAAGTCCAGCGTCAAGACAAACAAACAAAACCACATCACTGCAAAGAGCATCCTGACCAAAATGATAGACGAGGACGGAGAAATAGAGAGAGAGAGAGAGTTTTCTTAAAAAGTTGATCAATCTGTGTGTCATTCCCCTGTGGTAATGATGACAGGAGCCATTCTGGAGTGAAGAGAGGGATCCCACAGCTGGAGGGCAGATGAGGTACAACAGAGAACAACAGAGGAAGCGGAAAGAAAGAGGTCAGTGGATTACAGCACAGCACATGTCCCCGGGACGTTTGCCCATAAATTATCATACATATTTCCACTGCGGTCAAACGCAAATCACCCACTTCCCCTTTATTTATTTTTATTTTTTTATTTTTTCATATTTCTTAATTTAATTTAGAGAAAAGTTAAAAACATTCCTGCAGAGGAGATTCATCACAGGAGCTGTCCAGAGTGCTGAAACTGGGCCTGTTGGAATCATCTGCAGTTGCTAGTTAGCAATTAGCAACACAGTTGTTGGGCACTAGACAATGTGCTCATTATATCCATATATTTCTAATATGTCTGTGTAAGATGCATTCTTTACTTTTTAAGCGTTTTTAATTAGAATGTATTTCCCGAATGTATTGCCGTTAATACTTTGGTGCAGTGTGTGAGTCTGGGTGTGTGTGTTTGTGTGTGAGTCTGGGTGTGTGTGTTTGCCTGTGTGTTATGACACTCACCAGCCTCTTCAAGCTGAAGGGGACCAGAAGTGGCCATTATTCACACATGTTAGGAGACACATCTGAAGGATCTATGAGCAGATAAGAGTGTGTCTGTGTGTGTGTGGTTGTGAGCACCAGTTTGTCTCGGGCTGTGGAGTCATTGCACCTGTACCATGCACACACCCGTCGTATTAGTGCAGCCGTGTCCGCTCATTTATCTCTGACATGTGTGTTCTGCATGTTCATACCTGCAGGACATGTCTGTGCTGGCTGATGCAGTGATGATGTTCATCAGTTCACGCATGGCATCGTGCCCAAGTACTTTCTCCCACACACACAGTTAACCTTGTTATTTAATATGTGAATAGTTATTTACATTCAACAAAGGGTTTTTATGTTCTCGCATCTAAATGTATTTTTTTTCATAGTTAAAAATTATTTCAAGTCAAATTAATCGACTCAGTGAGTTTGTTAAATGTTTTTCTGGAATTCTTCAACTACATTTACTTCCTGGTGATCCGGCACCAGCATTATTTGCAGGACATTCACAATGGGACATTTACCAAGAGTTTAAGCTAAAGGTTAGAGTGTGTGACCTGAATCTTCCAGATATACTGGGAAAGTCTTTCACAAGGACAATGAGCAAGTGACACCCTCCTCTGCATCAATGAATACCACGGAGATCCCATGAGCAAGGCAGTAAATCCCATGGCTGCTTCAGTGCAGCTGCTCAGAGGCCTGTGGTCCTTTAGGGACGTTTCCCAGATCTGGATGCTCATATCAGAGCTGAGAGAGAGCCTGAGTGTGTGAGATAAATCATGCTAATAACAAAAGTTGTTTTTTCCTTCCACTGTTTGCATTCGAGATTGTTCTTCACTCTTTGCTATGTAACGTGACTAAAACTTTAATACATCACCTCATCCGAGAACAGGACGTGTGCCTGAGTCCCGTCATGTCGATTTTCATTGGCAATGATGGTGAACGCAACAACTCCCATGATCCCACTACATTGTTGTTTTGATTACATCGAACGACATAGTACGTTTAATGATCAAATGAAAGACAAAGACATTTCCATCAGCCTCAGCTGTAGTTTGCCTTTAGTATTAAATAGCAAATGTAAGTGTGCTAACATGCTACAGTATATGACACTGTATACATGTAAGCATTTAGCTCAAAGCACCACATCAACAGAACTGCTTGCGTGACTGTAGATCTCAATCTTTTTAAGGATTTAAAATATAAATCCTTTAATAATACACAATCGTGACAGAGCTATATATATACATATATCACTGTAAACTGTAAAGTCCTAGAAAATGACAGAGACAAAGGACAGAAGAAACACAATCAGAATCAGTGTTGATTGTTGATCCCTTTTACAAAGACCGTGGAGTTACAGACTTTAGAAGATGAGTCCTGTCGTCATTATATCCATGCATGTCTATGAAATATGACCTGTGCCTCTGTGTGTGTGTGTGTGTGTNTGTGTGTGTGTGTGTGTGTGGACTTGTTAAATAGTCAATTCTCAGATTCTCTGTGATTCCCAGTGCAATGCCTCCATTTGTCTCCACTAAGAACAGTGACAACGCATTTTTTATCCCATAATCAGAATCAGCACAAGTTCAAAAAACAGATAATTTTCTTTAATTTTCATATGTTCTTCCTTTGGGTTTGCTTCACCTCCCTCTCTCCTTTCATTCATCCGTTTCCAATTTCTTCAGTTTTGTTTTGTGTCGACTACGTGATTAGGGAGCCGTGGTTACCTGACAGCTGTTGCTATGGTGACCAGGTCTCTGAAATGTTTTTGTTCTGTTGTTTCCCTCCCACTCCTGTTCCTCTGCCTTTCTCTCCGACCTCACAGTACACTCTGTTATTTGTCCTTTATGAAAAGATGTGCAGAGCATTTTAGTTGCTCTTTTATTTTTTTACCTCAGCAGCATCCTGAGAGATGCCCCAGAAAAGATGGAGAGGAGGAAAGAAAATGAAGAAGGGAAAGGTGAGAGTTTAAATACAGAGTAATGTGGTTTCGAATAATAATTTGAAGAACAAAGCTTAGGATTTCTTACCCAGAGGTTTCCACGTTTAGTTGTTTTGAATGTTGTCCAAAACAGCCTTTAGTGTTAATCCGGTCTAATGTGATGCTCTACAGAGGATTTACCGTGTGGACAGCCGTCGACCAATCACGAGTCAGTCTCAGCTGTCAATCAAACTTAACAGAAACACTTGAACAAACATCAGTGTGATAAAGAACTAACTAAAATCACAGAAAACCAGGTCGGTTAGTTGAATGTCTAAATAATTATCATCTGTAAATAATTAACCATCACAAACATACTGTGCAAACCACATAATAATAAACTAATATATAATAATATCACTCTAATAAACACGTCCAAACTATCAATATCTACAGAGCACTGTAGCTTTACCTTGTATCCAGTAAACAGGTGGTCCATGTGAAGCTCACAGTCCAGACTTCATTCTCACCTTTTATTCACTACTTGTACATTTTCTGTGTGGGAGTAATGACACAGATTCTTCCAGCTCAGTTTTAGAAAAAAAACCTTGATAAATGGTGCGGGCTGGAGGGATGACAAAGCAGTGCAAAAACCAGGCCGCACCTCAATTATGATAGAGGCGAGTATTGATCCCGTATGGACACAGAGGCAATCTCAGTATACACACACACACAATCACACTCACACACACACACACACACACACACACACACACACACAAACACAGACATGCCCACGCACAAGCAAGTCTGCACACAAACATTTGCATAGCAACACACACTTTTCTTTGCAGCGACAACTAAACATGAACACACCCTCATACTTGATAACTTTCCCGTTTGCCCGTGTGTTATGCAATGTATAGTGTGATTTCCCCTCCATTCATTTGCGCAGTGTTTAAATCCCCCTCAGTCAGGATGGATGTGTGTTCACGCGTGTGTGTGTGTGTGTGTGTGTGTGGCAGCTGCACACTATTCATAGCACCCTGCTCCATTTGAAGGCTCTAAAAACAGCAGAATAATTGTCTAATCTTCCACAGCAGGTGGTGCATACAGAGATAAAGGATGTGAGGCTGAAGCTTTGCTCTAACTGACCATAACAATCACATTGTTTTTTAGTTTTCTGTTCATGCAGTTTGTTCTGTGTACAGTGGCCATGCTTTTCATTCCCCATGTTACCACAATATAAACCATGTTCCAGTGCGGTGCCGGTGAAACTGTGGCATAGACATGAGTCCTAATCAGTAAAATCTTGTCTATTTTCTCTCTATTCCTCTTGTGACTATTCCCCTCTTCTCTAATCTCCTCTTCAGCCTTGCTCTTCTCTTGTTTCTATTCTTATTTGTCAGCATAATCTCCAAATAATAGAATCTACGTTTTCTGCATTCACAGCACTGGAACTCGTTTCTGTTAGTTGAACGCTGCCCATACTGATGCAGCCTTTATCCGACATTTGGAGACCAGACTGTGTGCGACAGTCTTTTCCCCGGATGCCATTGATGCTGCAGATGTGCACTTTGTTCATGCTTCAGCAGAGACGCTGGAACAGCTGCTGCCAAAGGAACAAATATCCAGGAACAAGATCATTTCATCTAACTGAGGAGTTATCAGTTCCCAAATTTGTATATATTGTGAAAAATACCGTGAAATACAACCCATTGAAGACTTTGGCATAATGGAAAGTTATTTCCCCCTCATATGCACACATATTTTAGGCTAATCTTTTGACTGGCTTTGTTCACAGGCAATTTCCTCAGGGACCCAAACTGCAATGGGCCCCAACAGCTGATTCACCACGTTAAATGCCTAATTGGAATTAAGTTCCTACAATAAAACAAACATCATAAAAATATCACCTGTGTAAAGTTTAATCACAAAATTGGAAGAATATCAGAAAATACCAAGTAAGGCAGGTTGTGCAGGGAATCCTGCAAATCTATCATGTGATTAAACTTAGAGTTGGGAAATATATAAGTTTACTTTAGATTTAAAATCTCTTTTTCACCTTCTGTATATGTTTTAAAGGTACTATTCTACACTGTCAGGTGATTAAATGGTTTAAAAGATATCTGTAACTGTTCCATCAACAGCATGATGTACAAATATAAACGTATAAAACTGCAGTGAAGATGTTTTATGAATTTAACTGCCTCGCCTAGTTTTTGGTCCTTATTTCATCCGCGGAGTGAAACCCGGGGAACCCTGAGTGCTGAGGTCGGCCCGCGCACCGCCGCGGAGGGAGACGGCATCCGGAGAAGACGCCTGTTGGTCGGCTCTACTTTCCGCCGGCATCAGTGGCGTGTGTTACCGGAGCAGGTCGAAGAGTCTCCGCCGGTTTTTAAACCGTTTACACCGAACGACCCACCGGTTTGCTCTTCCTCTGACCCGGGGCGAGGCTGAGCCGAGGCGTGCGACCCGACCGCGGCCTTGTCAAGTCAACTCCAGCCCGTGGTTTTTGAGAAAATCACACATTTTAGGGAGTTAGCTTGATAATTGTTTTCTTGTCATTAGCTGTAAAGTGAAGGCATCCATTTTTTATTTTTGTGTACCCTCCTCTTCGTCACCTGTCACTTTCCCTCCCGCCTCTGACCCGGCTGCTGTGCTCGGACCGAGCCGAACAGCGACTCATCCTCCGAGGGGAACCCGACTGACTGCGCCGACATGGGGGTAAGAGCGCAGATCGCTGGTGCTTTGGGTCCGGTAACGTTATAACGGCTGCCCCGGTGTGTCCGTTGGCGGGAGCGTGAAGGCTCAGACCCGGTGTTCCGGTGACATTGAGCCCCGGTTGGGTGTGTGGGGGGGTCGGGTGTCTTTGTGTAAGCTAGCTGCATGTTTCACGTTGTCTGCGTGTAAATGTAAAAATGTGTCCGTGTATTTATCGCGTTAAAATCACCGTGTGCTGCACCTGAGATTAACCGGTGACAGAGGGGGGCGGTTATCACCTGGACACCGTCTCCCCCCTCTTCGCTCCTCTCCCGAGGAACTTGCGCCAGATTAGAGTCGAGTCTCCAGCCGGTGCAGGGAGGTAAAGGTTACTAATCCAGCCCTACACATTAAAACACATGTGCCATGTTTGGTTCCTGCAGAAACTCTTCATCCATGTTCCTCCTGTGGATTCTTCCACACCTTTACCCGCCCCACACGCAAAATGGACGTGTGACATTCGCGCCACTGGGTTTCACCCAGAGCCAACACCTTTATTCTTATTTGTATTTATTGATTTAACCACGAGCAGATTTGCGCAGAAGTAACGTAATGAAACCCGGTGTGTCGAGCAGAAACATGTGCTGCTTCGTGCAAAAAATACAGCTGCGAACATCTGGCGTCGCTGCAGAGGATTGAGGGAATTCACAGCCTCCAGGTCCGCATGTATCAGACAGACATGACACCGCTTGTTATAATGTGCAGGTGAAATGCGTAATTGCGCACAGGGATATGTAACCTGCATGCTGGTGAAAATCCGCAGCCCGGACTGCGGAACATTGTGTCAGAACGACTGCAGCAACTCTTCTCCATCACAAACATGGTGTGAGTCTGTGTCTCACTCCCCAGACAAGAGAGCAGCTGACACACAGAGAGAGAGAGAGAGAGAGTCCAGAATGTCTCAGATTTTTTGGATTAAGTGGAAAATCCACACTGGGTTGGGGGCTGGGAATCAAAAACATGAAGGCAATGTTGTTGCTTCTGCATAAATTTGCTGCACTTGTATTCAAACATTACATAATGCGACAGTGCGGCTGTGTGTTGCTGTCGTTGATGGAGCTGGGCTCGGTGAGGATGCACAGGCAGCTCAGGTCCGAATGCTTAAAAGAGTAAAGACAATTGCGTCAAAATGGTTCCTCAGCTGGCTGTATGGTCAATCCCCTCCTTAATCCTCTCTCTCTTAAAAAAAAAAAGTATCCCAGAAGAAGGTGGAGACACGACCAACGCCTCCACCGCCTTGTCTCTCCCCAGCAGTCTCCAAAAAAACCCCAGTGATCTGTCAGGTCATGAAGGACATCCTGTTCCAACCACTAAATTTAGACTCCATTATGTCATTTCTACTGAAAAACCCCTGTGATATCATTATAAGTTATTATCCAGTGTCCTTACTCAGTCTTACAACATTACGTTGCCCTGTGGAATGTATACTCTCCTACAGCGTGTCTTATCTTCTCTGCTTGTTTTATAGTATGACGTTTTGCTGTGGTATTTGGAGAATATAAAATCAACATGTACTGTTGAGTAACTGTAGCTCTATTCCTTCAGTAGTGTCATGGTCCATCCCTGCTGATGAAGGATGATGTGCAGTGGTTTCTCCTCTGCTCCACACTGTCGTATGGGAGGAGGGGGGGGCGGTTGGTTGGCATGGGAGAGCATCGAGGCAGAGTCGTGGAAAACGGTGGCGCTCTGTCACGGTTTGTGATGCTGTTAACTAAATCGCCAGAGGCGGACACCGCGCACAACTCCGACTACTGCGTCAAAAAGTGAAAGAGGAGGGTGGTGTATTTGTGAGTGGAAACTCCCATGTTCAGCCTGTGATTTGCCATCCGACTGGGTGGAGTAAGAGGAGATATGGGTGAAATAGGAGGAGGGTGGGGGACATAATCTGAGGGAGATTCAGTTGACAAGGCAACTGGGGCCATTTGATCCGGGCCAATCAATTGATAGGGGATGTTGCTGCTGGAGGCAACGATCGGTTGGTGGGTGAATGGATGGAGGCAGAGACGAAGGGAAGGTCAGCCACTTTAGGCCTCGGAGGGAGAAATAGAGGCCGCGTTCTGAGGAAAACTGACGGAGATGGTGTGATTTACTCAGAATGCTGGTGGCAGAGAGACGGGTGGTGAGAAAGACAGAGTGAGATGCCTTTGTGGTGAGTCACCTTGAGAAGGGTGAACACTGGGAAAGATAGAGGAGTGGAGGAATGGGAGGAGGGACACTGAGACACTGATTGTTAGTGTGCAGTGATGAGATAGAGCAGAGAGCAGCAATGGAGTCTGTGGAGAAAATGGAAAGATGGACACTGAGATAGAGAAGAAGAAAAAAGAGATATCCAAGGATGAATGCTTCTGATGATACCCCATAATGCACTTGGAGCGGAAGCTTGAGAGGGACAGCCAATGGCTGTGGAGGAGGGATGGAGCGTGGCTGTGTGTGTCTGAGGCAGTCGTCTAATCCATTCACCATGAAGCTGATGGTTCAGTCGCTCTCGACTTAATGAGATCTCTTCACTGTAGTGCCCCATTTCACTCCTGATAATAATTATTACTGACACTAAAAGTGCATATACACAATCACACACCAGTATATGAGAATGTAAGACATGTCAGCATGAAGCACTTAATACTATCAATTACGGTTATGAACAAATTGAATCTGAAATAATCAGAAATGCTTGTGCAGCTTCCATTTTGCAAAATAAAGGACACAGCATTAATAACAGTAAGATAATGTACGGGTGTGCACACATGTAAATTCTTGTAGTCACACGATATATGTTCTCATGGTCATGGACTCTGTTGCGTAATTGTTCCAGTTTGTCAATACCTCATCACAGACTCTCGTCCCCTCCTGTCCCTCACTAGTTTCCGTGTGTTCGTGTGTGAAATAACGTGAATCCATACTACTGCTAATCACCGAACAGGGGTTTCCAATGTCACCGACTCTTCAGACCGAACAGGCCATGACTCACTGTAGTCGTCAAAGATTTCCAGTCATTTGGGAGAGTGACTCTATGAACGTTACAGCAGAATTACATAACACACCTTCACATCAAGTGCAATCATCGAAGAAAAAAATTCCAACACCCTCCATCACAGTTGACTGAAATTATTAAGAGGGGCCAAGTGGATTGGATGTTGCTAGGAGACCTTACATTTCCCATTTGTCAAGCCATTGGAAGTCGACGCCGTCAATCACATTCTATCAACAGCTGCCATTTTCTCTCCTTCTCTCAGACATGTCGCACAGCAGGAGATGACACGCTGGTAAATGACAGGGAACAGAACAAAAACTGTGGTCGGCTTCATAGAAATGTTTCCTGACAACCACAAAGGCTTCTGCTGCACAAATAATTCATAGAAATCACAAACTGATCTCCTGTGGCATTTCACTGGAAACACACACATATGCTTAAAACCCAGTGTCGTCATCATCAGGCATTCATCGTGAATGGGGCACAGGCTTTCTCCTCGTGAATAAACCTTGGTGCAGATGAGTAGATCAGGGTAGACACAGCAGAGAAGCAGATGGGCAGCCTGGAGGGAGGAGAACGTAAACAAAGTGGGAGGGAGGGATAGATGGGGGAGGACCCCTCGTACTGCGTCTGTATGTTTGTGCGAGTGTGTATGTGTGTCGTGTGCCAGTCAGTCACTCCATCAGTATTTTATAGGTCGGTCTGGCCACTGATCTGTGTGATAATCCATTTCTTTGTGTGTGATCCACTAAACGTCCCACTTTGGTCACTGGAGCTTCTTCATATATTCATGAAAAATGGGCCAAATACCAGATTCGATGCTACAACACAGCAATCTGCCACTGTCATGTAAAAGGACACGTAGCATAACCTAAATAAGCACGAACTAAAAACTCATTACCAAAATGAATGAATAAATCTAAACCTCCGAGATACGATCCTCAGAATGAATGCTGTTGTTTCTCATCACGGCTCATTTATGATGCTTCGCCCTCAGTATGATCTCTAGATGTTTTGCTTTGATGTGAATCAATATGCATCTGTGTCCTAATCTGTACATTTTAATTGCTAATTATCATTGTAATGGTTTATCTTCTACCCACCTTGAATTTACGCATAAGGTGCACTGATAATATGTCCCTGTTTGATGTCTGAGATCTGAAGAGTGACTTTAGCAGATTAAGAAAAATGGCTTATCCAGCCTTTCTCAGACCTGTGGTGCCCTGCACCACCGGGTTGGCTGGATGTGGAATACGAGCAGACGGCTCATGTTCAGCATCTACAATCTGTCCTGCAGCTCAGTGTCTAACATCTGGATGCTGCTGAAACTTCCTCAGGTTTTGCAGCCTGTAGCAACACAGAGAGCAGGCACTGTGCACCAGAGCAAAGGGAAATTATGAGCATTAAACCATCCACTAAACTAATTCAGGATAGTTGAGAATAGAGTTTTACTGATAAGTAGTTTTGCCGATTATATTTTATATTTTTGGACCTTCAGAAACAAGATGATACATCTCAAGGGGGACAATACATTTCTATATTTGCCAATATTTGCTAACGACTTCTCGGGAATCATTGCTGATCACGGCTGATTTAACAATATGAGAATATTATCTCTATAATATAAGTTTTGGCAAAAGCAACATATATGTCGATGTGTTGTACTTTGTTTATACTTTTTGTTAGTCAGTACATAATGTGTCATCGCACAAAGTGAGGATCCACTGTATATTTCATCGTGCCGTTCAGACATATTGGGCTTCTTGGTAGTGCTTCTCGAACACATGAATGGATGTGTGCACACGTGATTCTGACTGATGGTTCTGTTCTGAGAGAGTTTTGTTTTTCACAGTTTTGTCTTTAGGATTGTCTTTACCTCATCTTGGTTGGTTAACATTTCAGCAGTGATTCACGATGAGTGAATGTTGTTGAATGAGAGGCTGGGAGTGAAAAGATGAGAAAGAGAGAGAGAGACCGTGATTGAGAAGGGATTATTATCATTCACTAGGTTAATCTGTCAGCGTAGTAAACAGCAGTAATCTGATGGCCTGTTGGACGCTACTGCCCGGGGAACCCTGCACCTCCTAACAGATGGCAACACACCCACACACTCACACCCCCCACACACACACACTTGAAAAAATACAGTGCATGCAGATTCACAATTGTACCCAAAAAACATCTTTGGACATTATGCCACTTACATACACTTGGATTTGCATATATATATACAAATTTTACATATGCACACACTCAAATCAGGTAAATCAGGAAAAACCCACAGATTTGTAGACAAACGATTTGTAGACATAAGAATAAGAGGATGTAATGAAGTCTGGTGGTGTGTTTGTTTGGCTGTCATCAAGCCATCACTCAGCCAGCTTTTCATAGAGTGAGGAAAAAAAACAGACTGTAAACAGCATAAAACAGCCATCAAATCAGTGTGAAACCCGCTCGGCCATCACTAATCCATGTAAGAGCTTTCCCAAAATAAGTCTGCTCTCCCCTCTCATCAAAGAGGTTCAAACAGAATCTGGGGCTCAAAATGAGTATTTCCACAGAGCATTTGTTTTTAGGTTGCATAGTGGTCAACATCTGCTTGGTGAACAAGGTTCAGGTCACATTGCATCCCCAATAGAAAGTATGTTTGGCTGTAGGCTGTGAAAATGCTTCCAGGAACTGTCAGTGGAGTTCAGGCTCAAAGTAAAATTCAAATGAACGTCATAAGGTTAAACAGGCTATTTAAATTCTCAAAATAAGTGATGGCAGATTTCCTCCAGCAGTGGATTCATTTAATTAACCATACTTCACTTTATTCATTTAGCCTCCTAAACCCAATTAGTGTGTCATAAATTGTCTCATATTGTCTTTGCCTCTAAAAACACATTCATCTGTGGGTTTACAGCTGAACCATCATTTTTCACATCTACGTTCCCGCACTGCATGGACCGCGATGTATTTACTATGTTTTGCTGTTGCTTTGGTCTTGAAATGTGCTATACATGACTTGATTTAGTTGAGATTCTCTTTTGTCCTCCAGACACAGAGTTTGATAAATTCTCTTTGGGAGCTAAAATAGATAAATAAATAAATCAAAATACAATTACACAGGAACACTGTGTGAAATTTGACATAGGTGAAAACGAATGGAAACATCAACAAGTATAGTCCTTGAGAAAATCTAATATTAATGTGAAAACATCATGTTCCCTGACAGAAATGTTCAAATCCTGCTTTTCATTCTGCCATTCTCCTGTTTCCATGTTTTACTAAGCCGAGCAGCTGGCTGACATTTTATTTCTTTGCTAGAAAACCCTTCAGGATGTTCATCCTGTGCTGTGCATGCTGGGTAACAGTGTGATTTGAGAAAAGGTGTTAATCCTCATGCAGGAGCATATTAACACGCGAGGACTACACACAAAGACATCAGTATTTGAAGGTTTAGTATAGTATTATTTTTAGTCAGATTTCAAGTAAAGGTTCTAGTTTTTCTAGAAAAGTATCTAATCTCAGACTTTAAGAATTTTAACAATATTTGTTTTCATATTAGTAACTAAATATGGAATAAATACTCATTTATTCATCTTTGTAAACAAATATTTGGGGGGTGTTTTTGACAGAAGACGATGCGAGCCTATTTTCAGGTTTTTTAAACATGATTATTATTAGATTTGATGTATTTCCGACCACGTTTTTGTTCTTGACATATGAAACTCTGAACCTGCATTTCAACCATCTTGAATAACTGCTGCTGCTCAGAATAGAGAAAGAATTCAAAGCTGCAGTTTTTGGCAGACCTCTGATCAACACGCAGATGTGTTTAACAAACTCCTGCTGTTTACAAGGACCAAACGTACTCTTGCACAGATTGAAACAGCTCAAACTCTCATCCATACTTACACTGGTGATTCTGAATATCTCCTGATGCCTGTTACAGTTTCTATCATATTTATCTTTCATCACGGGTCCTGGATGATCCTCCCCTCTATCCTCTGGTTCTTCACACTCACTCTCTCTCCTGACTGCTCTTGTTTTTCCTCTCAGACAAAGCAGCGTTCTCTCTGATCTGAGCGGCAGTACCCTGAATACCATCGGTGTAGATTGCAGTTCAAGTGGAGCTCTCCAGACAGGCCTGTGCTCTAATGATGCCAGATCTAATCAGGAGGTGTCGAGTTCCCCTCCTCACACCAGGGGATATTATCTCAATTTGGATCTTTTGACTGGATCTAAATATGGAAGCAAAATAGGATTTAGGAAGCATGTTGTTCTTACAATTATTATATTATACATTAGTGGTTGTCCTAGTTATGACCTGTGTTTTTGCAGCTACAGATGAAATGGTCGAGGGATTATTTGCGTAAACTCTCACCTGTTCTCGGTTGAGTGGTTCGGATTACACAAGGATAAGAATTAGAGTGTCAGCTGTCATAAATGAAATAAGGTTCCTATAAATGTATAAATAATATGACAGGACTAAACTCAGTGATCTTGTGTTTGTGTGTTAACAGTATGGACGGTCGGACAGCTACCGCGTGGCCACCACGCAGGACAAGGATGAGAAGGAGTCACCCAAGAAGAAGGGAGGCAAGGATCTGGATGACCTCAAGAAGGAAGTTCCCATCGTGCGTAAAAACACTTCCTACTTCTGACATTTCACTGACATTTACTTCAACGAAACAACATCCCTTAGAAACCGTTGGGTCAAACACTGTAGTGGTTAAAAACCTCACTTGAATTCCAAGCAGAACTGATCGTCTTTACAGACAGAATAACCAAAAGCTTTGAAGTCCCAGCTGAGCAATGAGGAGATCATTGATAGTACACCCTGGCCTCGCCCCAGCATTCAGAGAGCTGTGATCCAAATGTTATTCAGACTCCCTCTTTGACAAGGAGATGACAGAGATGAGGTATTTCATGGCAGCTGGTCTACAGTAGTGGTACTGTGCGGTTAGACCTAATATGCCAGATATGCAATATGTGTACTGTAATATCTGGCAAGTTAATCCTGTTGTGGAAAGACTCCTGCACGGAGCAGTCTGCCCAACCCAGAGCATTTCCCTCTGATATAAAAGAATATGAGCTGGCTCAAATAAACTGACTGATCCATAGTGTCACAAATGCTGAAAAATTTCATTTGTAATTTACAGTCTTTCATAATAAACTGAACTAAAATATTTTTTATATTTAAAACTTCCTCACCTGACACCAGCACAGTTACAACACATTTCCATATTGAATGTAATTTTGAACAGATCTTATAATTGATGGGTGTTTGCAGTTTACTTTCTTTCTTTTTTCATTCACTGTAGACGGAACACAAAATGTCTGTTGAGGAGGTTTGCAGGAAATACAACACTGATATCGTCCAGGTAAGTGTTTGAATCTGTCCTGACTGAATGCAGCGCTAATGATTCAGCACTGATTGATGTTGATATCCCTGTCAGATAAGGAGTTAGACAAATCTCTGCTTTATTCCATCTTCCCTCTTCTCCTCTCCTTCCCCTCTGTTGCTCTTAGGGTTTGACCAATGCCAAGGCAGCAGAGTACCTGGCCAGGGACGGCCTCAATGCTCTGACTCCACCCCCCACCACCCCAGAGTGGGTTAAGTTCTGTCGCCAGCTGTTCGGCGGCTTCTCCATCCTGCTGTGGATCGGTGCCATCCTCTGCTTTCTGGCCTACGCCATCCAGGCAGCCACAGAGGATGAGCCCGCTGGGGATAACGTAAGTGCAAGGTTGTAGTGGATGGACGTTGACAAAATTACTGTCAGTCCACCACCATCATGAAATCATAAAAAAAATGTAAATAAATAGCTTTGAATGAAATATAAACACCAGCACTCTTTGAGAAGCGAGCTCTCACACATCCTGAAGGAGATTAGTGAAGAAGCTGTGGAAGTGAATCGCTGCTCGTGTATGTGCTCCTCCAGCACATCACTTTATAAAACAATGTGCTGAGTCACATAAAGCTGTGTCAGTGCTAATGTCATCTGTTTGTGTGAATCACACCAGCCGACCCATCGTTGATTGACAGACACCATCCTCTTAGTGTCATTTTGGGCAGACCACAGGGAGCGTGTGACTCCTGCCGTTGGTAAAGGCTGGGTGAGAGAAGGGCGTTCATGGGTCAGCACTGTTTCTGCCGGGTCAGAGCGCAGAGTGAAGCCTGGGACTGAGTCTGAGTGGATCTGACACACACAGTATGAAGGGACAAAACGTTTGGTCTGTACCACAGGGGATGTGAAGCACTGATGGTGATGAGTTGCCCTCAGTGACTGTATCATACACACAGAATTTAAAATTCACACTCTGATAAACAGCTGCACTTGTGTCACATGGTACAGGGCATAGATGACAGTCCTGAACAGGAAGATTATTTATATGAGAGGATTTAGACCCTCTAATGGTCATATATTGATACATAGACAATATAAGAGCAGTGTCATTAAACTATCAGCAGATTAGACGACTGATGATTTTCTCTCTGTCTCTCCAGTGGTCTATTTTTTTGTCTTGCCCTCCTCTCATGTGATACATTTTTAGATAAAGGAGAAGTCACTTAATTACTTTCTGCATTAAATATGAAAGTCTCATCTTCCTTTCTTCCTCCTCTGTCTGTCTTCACCTCTGCAGTTGTACTTGGGTATCGTGCTGTCGGCTGTCGTCATCATCACCGGCTGCTTCTCCTACTTCCAGGAAGCTAAGAGCTCTAAGATCATGGAGTCCTTTAAGAACATGGTCCCTCAGGTACCAAACACCCAAAGGCACAGCACAATATTCTATATTATATTGCATTTTCTTCTCACAATTTATTTTTAAGGATTTAAAAAAATCTTCTCTAACCTTTCTCTAAATAGTGCCGTCACAGAAGTTGGTGTTATTTTTGGAAAGAAGCTTCAACTTTACATTAGCTGACTTTGCTTCATTTGTTTTATTCTTTTAAACAAAACAAGAAAATGTTTATTTGAATGTTGTGCCCCTAAAAATATTCTCCCTCCCTCTGATTCTCTTTCTGTCTCTCTCTTCTTCTCTCTGTTCTCAGCAAGCCTTGGTTATCCGTGAGGGAGAGAAGATGCAGATCAACGCTGAGCAGGTGGTGGCAGGAGACCTGGTGGAGGTGAAGGGAGGAGACAGGATCCCCGCTGACCTACGCATCATCTCCTCCCACGGCTGCAAGGTGAGCCACAAACACAGATACCCTCCAGTAATTAAACAAACCCGGGGAGATAACAACACCTTCGTCAGATGTCTCTCTAGGGTATTAAGTTCCCTGTCTCAACACTATAATCAGAGTTAGCGCCGTTTATTTTGAAAATGTGAAAATGTGGGTGCACAGTAGAAGTCAGTAAAGGTAATTAACTAAAAGAAGCACAGTGGCTTCACAGCAACATATGAATTTATTATTCAAAATGTAAGATAAAATACACGACTTGTTTATCTTCATGATAAATTCTCAGTGTTTCCACATGTTTTCATATGAACCTCACTCCAAGTCTTAGATAGTTGTTTAATATGACTATAATGAATTGTACGTAGTCTCATGATAATCACCATCACTGGGTCAAATCATTTCCTCCTGCTCTGTCCAGGTGGACAACTCGTCCCTGACTGGTGAATCAGAGCCCCAGACCAGGTCACCTGACTGCACCCATGACAACCCCCTGGAAACCCGCAACATCGCTTTTTTCTCCACCAACTGTGTCGAGGGTAAGGTCCCCATCGACACCAATCCTTATTTTTATTATCACCATCATATTCACCATATACAGCGTTAGGGTTTGTCCACTCTTCCTCTCGTAGAATCATTTCTTGTGCGTGTGTGTCTGTGTATAGTCACTCAAATGGCTGCAAGCGTATGTTTGTATTGTTCCAGTTCAGTGCTCAGATTGAACTGCAAACAGACGCTACCCGTCAGCTTTTATTGTTGACCAAGTGTTTGGTCTGATGACGGAGCAGTTTGTGACATCACAGGAGCCCAGTCCCTAAAAACACAGCCTGGTTTCCTCTTTCCATTCCAGCTCAGTCCATCGTGTTACTGGAAGGATGTTTAACTTCTGCTGTCCTGCTCACAATGGCAGATTAGAAAAGAACAAAATATGGCGCCCTCTCATGGATATATTGTTACATTACATTAATACTCCACCACTTAAACCATCACTGCTCAGTCAAACCTAAGCAAGTTGTCCTCTTTTCTTCCTTGTTTCTGGAGTTGATAAAGACGTATATATATATATTACTTTTTCTATAAACGCTGCACCCTCTCTCCTTCTCCAGGAACAGCTCGTGGTATTGTTGTGTGCACTGGTGATCGTACAGTGATGGGTCGCATCGCCACCCTCACTTCAGGCCTGGAGACTGGCAAGGTGACATATTAATTGTTGTCTGTTTTTATGATAATGGTCTTTTGTGTCATTTGGAAGTCCAACAGTTCAGGTTGTTTACTACAAACAGGCCTTTTCTATTTTTTGAACCTGTTTTCATCATTCAGTTGATAATTAATTTATTAATTCTTTAACCGACCTTTAAGAGTTGCCAATCTCTAAAATGTCTGTGCTTCAGGGTTAAAACAAGTAATCAAGATAGAGAAACTTTATCTTCGTCAGTCAATCTAAACTTCCTCTTCTGCTCCTCAGACACCTATTGCCAAGGAGATCGAGCACTTCATCCACATCATCACGGGTGTGGCCGTCTTCCTGGGCATTAGTTTCTTCGTCCTGTCCATCATCCTGGGTTACTCCTGGCTGGAAGCCGTCATCTTCCTCATCGGTATCATTGTGGCTAATGTACCTGAGGGACTGCTGGCCACAGTCACCGTGAGTTGGCAGAGAAATAGGAAGCGAGTGTGTGGTGTGAGATGATAGTTGAGGAAAGAATTTGATATTCATTTTATTTGGTGTTTTTAATCTTTGAGGGTCAGAAAGATGAGGTTGACACGGTGATACTTTGCCAAACCAGCTTATATTTAATTTTTCAGGGCAATGAACTACTTGAGAAAAGAGAAATGTATTGAGATCAGATACAACCGAGTTTCAAGAAAGTTCTTTAGGTTTTGCATAATCCTGCTGAGAGACAGACAAACAGCAATGAAAACATAACCTCCTCTGTGGATGTAAATATACTACATGTATTTCTAATGTTAAATGTCACCTGTCAGATTCCCTGAGCAGTATGAAGTTTCACCCATGTCAGATTGTGTCCTTCTTTATGTGTGTGTTGGTCGAAGTATGTGTCTTATATTGTGTCGTGTACAGTGTTTTGGCTTCTCTCTTATCGTGTGGTTTGTTTTGTCCCTGCTTCCCTTTACTCTGTGCTTGTGTGTTTTCTGTGATATGTGATGTTGCCATGTGTCCATGTGCACTTGTGTGTTTTTATCCTGTTGTGCTTCTACATTCTCTCTGTCAGTATCAGCTGTTGTGGTGAAGGTGTCTCTGTTTGTGTATCTCTCTTTTCCATCTCCCTTCTCTCTCTCCCAAGGCACATGCCCCATTTGTGTGTGTGTGTATCTGATTCTCTCTCCCTCCATTGTCTCTGTATGTCTCTCTCTCTCTTTTTTCCAGGCCAGTCATGGTGCTGTCTGGAATGACAACGTCTAGCTAATGTAATGATATTAGGCTAATGAGTAATCAGCTACATGAACTGAATTCCGGCCTCTGCTTGGCCTTGGCTAGTACTGTTCTTGCCGTACTTGGCATGATGACATAATGCACCGCTGCTCTGCTTCACCGCTTCACTCGTTTATGCCTCATGCTCCGTCTGCACTGCTCGTTGGCTGTGTTTTTATTTTTAAGAGGAGGTTTTTAGTGCATTTTGCTGTAGAGGGACATTGATGAGCAGGATTAACATCTCCAGGTGTGTGGGTGGTTTAGTTCGTGGTTTGGTTAATTGTTTAAAAAGCATTATTAGATAGATTTTTCTGCTCATTGGCAGAACATCTGCCCTGGAGATGTTCATCTGTGTTGTAAGTTTACTAAAGACAGGAGTTGCTAATTATTTTGTATCTTTCCCTGTTTCCATTCTCTCTTTATGTCTTATGCTGTCGAAAACCTCTTTTCTTCCTTTCTGTCCTCCCGTCCTTCTTGTCGTTACTCTCCTCTTTCCTTCCTTTTTCGTCTCTCAGGTGTGTCTGACTCTGACTGCTAAACGAATGGCGCGTAAGAACTGCCTGGTGAAGAACTTGGAGGCTGTGGAAACTCTTGGCTCCACCTCCACCATCTGCTCAGATAAGACAGGGACACTGACCCAGAACAGGATGACCGTGGCCCACATGTGGTTCGACAACCAGATCCACGAGGCCGACACCACCGAGGACCAATCTGGTGAGGTTTTCTTCTCTCTCTTGCTTTCATGCAGCTTCTATTAAAACTCTGTCTTTATTTAAGACATTATGACCTTGATTTCTCTTGAGCAGCTTCATTTACTGGCATCCTAAATATCATTTCTGTTAAGTGATGCTCTTTTGCTGATGGGTCTTAAACATTGTACATTTTGTCAGTTCAGTTAAATCAATTTTTGAAAAGTGACGATTGGTTGAGACACAGCTGATTCACTTTTTTCTTTTCTTTTTTCCCTGATCATTCTTTAGGCTCCTCCTTCGACAAGAGCTCCACAACATGGGTGTCTTTGGCCCGCATCGCTGCCCTGTGCAACCGTGCTGTGTTCAAGGCCGGTCAGGATACTTTGCCCATCCTAAAGCGTGAAGTGGCTGGAGATGCCTCAGAGTCTGCCCTGCTGAAATGCATTGAGCTGTCATGTGGCGCTGTCAAGACCATGAGGGACAAGAACAAGAAGGTGGCTGAGATCCCCTTCAACTCCACCAACAAGTATCAGGTTTGTCCGCTCTGTTTATTTCCAGCAGGAAAATAAAAGCATATGATCACAAACTTAAACATGTTGCAAGTTACGATACTGACTCTTAAATATGATCCCATCAGCTGTCAATTCACGAAACGGAGGAAGAAAGCGAGAACCACTACCTGCTGGTGATGAAGGGAGCCCCAGAAAGGATCCTGGACCGCTGCTCCACCATCATGGTGCAAGGCAAGGAGCAGCCCATGGACGATGAGATGAAGGAGGCTTTTCAGAACGCCTATTTGGAGCTGGGAGGACTGGGAGAGAGAGTACTGGGTAAGGACAACCAAAGATGGAAAAACATTGGTGAATTAACTAAAGGTCCTAGTTTGGACATTTGGAAAGAATTTCATAATAAAGTTCTAATATATACTTCATCTGCGTTGTATTGTATCATCCTGTAGGTATGTTTCATTCACACTTCTTTTCTCTTCCATGATTCCTCCAGGTTTCTGCCACCTGTTCATGCCCGAGGACAAGTACCCCAAGGGTTTCGCCTTCGACACCGATGACGTCAACTTCCGGACAGACAACCTTTGTTTCGTGGGCCTCATGTCCATGATTGACCCGCCCCGTGCTGCCGTGCCCGACGCTGTAGGAAAATGTCGCTCCGCTGGCATCAAGGTGGGCACTTTTACAATCTGACATTTAAACGACTTGAAGAGCAGAACATTGCATCCAGCTGAATGTGAAGGAAATCAGCTGCATTCTGTGAGAAAAAAAAAAGAGTAATTTCTCGATGACTTCTCTCTCTTTCGTCCCATTTCTGTTCCTCCCATCTTTTCTCTTACCCTTTCCCGTTTCTCTCTCAAATTCCCTTTAATTTCATACTCTCTTTATCTTGTTCCTCGATTTATTTTTCAGGTCATCATGGTGACTGGAGACCACCCAATCACAGCCAAGGCCATTGCTAAGGGTGTTGGCATCATCTCCGAGGGCAACGAGACGGTGGAAGATATCGCTGCTCGCCTCAACATCCCTGTCAGCCAGGTCAACCCCAGGTGAGGCAGAAAACTCACATCAAGACAGGTAGTTGTGTAGCTTCACTTGCACTGCCACAGAGTGGAAGATGTTCAACTCAGCTGTAAAAGATAAGGTCGATGAACAAAGTGGAGATAATTGAGGGATTGGTTTTGTCTTTGTTGTGTAGAGATGCAAAGGCCTGTGTGATCCACGGCACAGATCTGAAGGATCTCTCTCAGGAGCAGATGGATGATATTTTGAGGAACCACACGGAGATCGTCTTTGCCAGAACGTCCCCACAGCAGAAACTCATCATTGTAGAGGGCTGCCAGAGACTGGTACTTAACTGCACACACACTCATAAACACTTCAACACTGGTGAATTTACTTATGCACATGCAAACAGGTGCTTGTAGTAAAAAAAGAAATCCATTAGCATCTGACTGTGAATCAAAACATTTCAACTGTGTGGCCTCTTTCTTCTCAGGGTGCCATCGTGGCTGTGACAGGTGACGGTGTGAACGACTCTCCTGCCCTGAAGAAGGCTGACATCGGGGTTGCCATGGGAATCTCTGGCTCAGATGTGTCCAAACAAGCCGCAGACATGATCCTTTTGGACGACAACTTTGCCTCTATCGTCACAGGAGTAGAAGAAGGTGAAGGAAAAACGAATGGAGGGAAGGTGGGAGGAAGGAGGGAAAACAATTAGGCTGCGGAGAAGAAAAAGAGAAAGAAAAATCATGAGGTGGAGGGAAGATGTTTAAATTCAAGAGTTATGATGACCAGAAACCACAGATACTTTAATATATTTATAAATACAGTCAGATCATTTATTTCATTTTCTCTTTTTGTGTTTAACAAAAATAATAGTTGGAACGGCGAAGAAATAAAATAGGATTTGAAGGATTAAACAGTATTTTATTGTAAAGCACTGTTCTGCATACTTGCCTTATATATTGATCTGTGTTGGCATCAGTACAGGAGTGTCAGTGTTCCTATCGTTCCTGCTTGTTCATGTGTCCGTATTTGCTGACACACCGTGTCCGTCCCCACAGGCCGCCTCATCTTTGACAACCTGAAGAAGTCCATCGCCTACACTCTGACCAGCAACATCCCAGAGATCACCCCCTTCCTGTTCTTCATCTTGGTCAACATCCCTCTGCCTCTGGGCACCATCACCATCCTCTGCATTGACCTGGGAACTGACATGGTAACTAAAACAAGTGGTAGCACACGGCTTTAATGTGTTTGTGTCCAATCAGGCATTAAGAAACAACATGTTTGGTCAACATCTCCAGGGCAACACAAGCTCAGGACGCTGAAGCATGGTCACTACTCATGTATATATGTTACATAGCAATGCAAAATTAATTGGAAGAGAAATAGGAGGGAATACAGAACCAGTGTTGTGGTAAATATTGAAATAAAACCACAGATATTTATTTATAATTTGCCAGATTTAAATACAGAACATGGTCACAAACAAGGCAGGAGAAACGTCAGGCTCAGTGAAGAGGTAACAAAGAGATGTGAGTATAACATGAATGAAAACATGAATCAATGGGAGCACTGAGGTGGAGGTGATACCAAAACAGTACATGTGCAACTAGGACACTGGGTGGCAGTGTGGGACCTCTCCTGAAAACAAGCAGTCATCCTCCTTTCAAAGAAGTGGATTCAATTAGATGGACTGAAAAATAAAGAATAGTGAGCAGTATTTTACTCATCTGTTCACGTGTCTAGGAAATAGAAATTGTAATGTTCCCAAATTTACAAAATCAGTTTTGCATGCTTAGAAAATGTAGCGTGATGAAAATAATAGACTCCCCTTAATAAATGGTAATGAACTGCAGACACGGTGTAAACATGAAATCACAAAGGAATCTCTGTCTGTGTCTCGTCTGTCAGGTACCTGCCATCTCTCTTGCCTATGAAGCAGCAGAGAGCGACATTATGAAGCGTCAGCCCAGGAACCCACTGAGGGACAAACTGGTCAATGAGAGACTCATCAGCATCGCGTACGGACAGATTGGTAGGTGCCATGATTGTTATTCACATGTGCTGTGTGTCGTAATGAATTGAGACTGATTTGATTTTGCATCTTCTGGTTTTGTCTTCATGTTATTCTGTCAATTAATGATCAAACTGTGTGTTTCTGCAGGAATGATCCAAGCTCTCGGTGGATTCTTCGCCTACTTCGTCATCATGGCTGAAAACGGTTTTCTGCCGTCTGTGCTTGTTGGCATCCGGCTCAACTGGGACGATCGCTCCAACAACGACCTGGAGGACAGTTACGGACAGCAATGGGTACGAGTGATCTGAGACGATACAAATCTTCTTCTATGTCAGTTATTAACACCTAGCAGCAGTAATACTGTATCAGATCAGCCATAAACACACATGGCTCCTAAAATATTTCTAACTCCGTGAATTTAATTAACTTCTTAATGGGCTCCACATTTTATCCCAGTATTCATCAAACAGAAAAGTCTGTCACAGACGAGGGAGATGATCTAAACTTCATGTCTTCTGTTTCTCTCCTCCTCCTCCATACAGACCTACGAGCAGCGTAAGATTGTGGAGTTCACTTGCCACACAGCCTTCTTCGTCAGTATTGTGGTGGTGCAGTGGGCCGACGTCATCATCTGCAAGACCAGACGTAACTCTGTGTTCCAGCAGGGCATGAAGTGAGTTCAAAATCATCTCAGTAGGAGGGAGGCTCATTCTGGAAAATGTGTTACTGGTTATTGATGTTATTAAGCTAGCTAAACAAACACATTGTCTTGTTCTATAACATTAAAAACATCCAGTCGTCGTCTCCCGGTTATGAGCAATGTGCATTTCACCTTTAAATAAAGTAAATATTATAACAGTACAGATATGATTATGAAAGTGCACTGCCATTCCCCTGAGTGGCCACTAGATGTCACTCCAAAGTTAGTTTTACTGATGCACCTTTATTTTATGGACTTGATTCCCGGCCTATGTTTGGTCACTCTCTTCTTCCTCCATCTTGTCTTTTTTTCTCCTCATCCGTCCTCCTCCTACAGGCAGAGGCTGATAGTTCAGACACACAAACCCACAGACCCCATTACCGTCTTTTATCACCATCTCTTTCTTATCTTACACTTTGTCTGTCCTTGATTTAATTTCTTCTTTCTTGCAGGAATAAGATTTTGATCTTTGGCCTGTTTGAGGAAACAGCTTTGGCTGCTTTCCTGTCCTACTGCCCTGGCATGGACGTGGCACTAAGGATGTACCCACTCAAGTAAGTCACATCACCTACTCATCAAAACAGTGAGCAACACAAAACCTCAGCACTGAATTATCATTTTCATTGTTTATATTATATTATATTCATATTTATTTCAAGACTAATTCATGTGTCTCAACACAGTTATATCAGTGTGGATGTCGGTATCACAGAAGAAGCCTGTGAACAACAGCAAAGATCACAGTCTGAATTGTTTCTCACTTCTCTCGCTCTGCTCTCGTCCTCTCTCAGGCCCAGCTGGTGGTTCTGTGCGTTCCCGTACAGTTTCCTCATCTTTGTTTACGATGAGATTCGAAAACTCATCCTTCGCCGAAACCCCGGAGGTACGATCGCACACAAACATACAGGATACCTGCACATAGTGTTTCATTCACACAGGAGGTTTGGTTTTAACCTCCTCATCAGGTTCTCACCAAACTTCAGTGTAGATAGATTTGTAATTTATCTGCGACTACAATTACACAGACAGTAGTATTCTAATATTAACCTGATTTACACAGTATTACCTCGTAGGCTGGGATGGTGGCGCTGCAGTTAGCACGGTCGCCTCACAGCTCAGCCACAGTCTTTCTTTCTGGAGTTTGCATGTTCTCTCTGTGTCTCAGGGGTTATTACACAATCAGACTGTAACTTGCAAACAGGAATATTATGGAATATTCTATAGTTAATTCATGTTAACGTCATAAAGTAATGTCTCGGTCAGACGAAGGTAAATAGTCTGAATGTTGGTGTCATTGTGTGATATCACACTGATTCTCATCACGTGACCTATTTGCACTCATGTTAATGAGCAAGTGAAATGGTTTGATAGGTAACTGTCCTCTTTCTCTTTTTCTTGTTTCCTTCTTTCTCTCTCCTCTTCATCTCTGCAGGCTGGGTGGAAAAAGAGACATACTATTAAATTATCAAAGCATCATTTACTTCTCACTTCACCCTCCCCTTCCTGAACTCATTCCTCCTCTAACTCCCTCTCTCTTTCCCTTTCCTCCTCCCTTCCTTCCCTTCATCCATCTCTCCTCTTGTCTCCCCGAGATACTCACACTGTACAAGGAAACTATGTTTCCTCCTTTGTCCTGTCCGTCCTGTCCATCCTCATCCCCTTAAGAAACAGAAAAAAAACACAAAATGCCAAGATGACGAGAGGACCAACGACAGAGGAGGGGAGGGTGGTGGAGGGGTGGGTTTGTAAATCTTCCCTGTCCTCTCTGTCCCCCTTTTTTTTTTCTATCCAAAGTCTAAACAGCATAGTTCTGCCAGTAACACTGTTTGTGCCGATGCTTGTTACTACACTGTTAGCAGCAGCCACTCTTGTTGTGCGTACTAACGCTGTGGTCAGCTGAATAAAGGTGATAACTGTATGAATAAAGAAAATCTGACTGTTCCACTGCGACGATCACTTGTGATCTTGCCAAGCAGGACAACGACTCGGCAGCTCCCGCCCACACTCCCAGCTGCCACTGTAGGCGGGTGGGTGGCGTCTTTTTTAAAATTTATTTATTCTTATTTTTTTTTCTAAAAGATTTGTCCAGAGAATCCTTCAGATCCAGCTCTCTTATCACTGCCATGTTCTGCCATTCACCTCTTTTACTTCTCGCTCTATTTCTACTTACTCACTGCCAATCTTCTTCTACTGCCTCCCTCCCTCCCTCCCTCCCTCCTCCTCTTCTTACTCCTGCCCCATCGATAAAGAATCTGTCTCAACAGGGCGGGAAAAAAGGTCACTAACTCTGACTCCCTCCCTCCCTGCCTCCCTCTTCCTCTCTTCTTCCCCCCCATGTGTGTTTTTTTTCCTCCTTGCGTTGTTTTTAATAGACGTCTGTTTTTTTTTTACAACATTGTTCTCAAAAGTTTTAAGTTCGGAGTGGGTCTGCTTGTTTTCATTGGGACATGACAAAGCCCACTGTCTCTCCCTCTTCTTCTGCCTCCTCTCTTCTTTCTCTCTTACACTCATCCTATATCTCCTCTCCACTCACCCAGCCTGTCCCTGTCTGTTTGTGAACACGGTGCAAACCCTCCGTCCTTGTAAACTTCCCCTATCACCAACCTGCCTCCTCTTCCCCTCCCGCAAACCCCCCCCCCATTAACCCCACCCGAACTTACCCGTTATAAAAAATACAATCTTTCTGTGTCCTCGGAAAAAGAGATTTCTCTCCAATTTCATTAATTACATCATTGGAAATATGGAATATAAGACACTGCACATTAACTTACGAAACAACAGAAAAAAAAGAAAATGAAATAAAATAGAAGGATCTCTCTTTTTTCAGTTTGGTCTCCAGTTTGTTTTTGTGTTGAGTTTTGTCAGAAAATGGAAATAAATGCTGTGACCAACTCTTACTCACGCTGGTTGTGTCAAGTCGTGTGTGTTCTACCTCAGGAGTGTCACTGTGGATGGAAACGTTTACACATCACGTGTTTATCAATGTTGTTCAGTGAATATGATTCAGTAGAACTGTCGTAGCTGGAGTTTATCAAGAATCAGTGGAAGGAGATGTTCAGTCCATGATGGACAACACATCGACTGAGGACGTCCACAGACACGACAGGTAACAAAGGCAAGTTTTCAGAAACATTAGCAACGTAGCATAAATGAAAAGTGTTTTAGCACAAGCTCCATTTAGAAACTAAAACACATTATCTTCGACAACATATTAAGATCTTTAATGTCCCAGGAGGAAGAAGGACCACGTTACACAAAACACTGACTGATCACCTCTTCACCTGGTGTTGATCAATTATTATGAATTAGTTATTTGATCTTATAAAAACCGGGTGAAACGTCATGATTGACAGTGGAGACTGACTCACGATTGGTCGAGGGTGTGTATCGGCGGGACTTTGATGTCTCAGATCAATCTCTTGATCTCTTCTGCACAGACTCTTGCTCCAAATGATCTTTGGGTTGAGGACATTTCTCGGAGTCTATCATGCAAAAACACAACTGCTCGGTGTATAATGAAAAGTAATACTTTAGAGTAAATTACTGCATATTTATCAATGTAGTAGTTGTACTTCATTACGTAGCTCAATAGTGACGTCATCTTCAGCCCTTAGAGCAAAGTGAGGATCAGTTTTAACTGCAGCAGGAATATCTCAAAACAGCCTTTGACTTTCACGCTTCTACTTGTGAACTTGTGTGTGTGCGTGTGCGTGTGTGTGTGCACCCTGACTGCAAGGGTGTCCATGTTTCATGAATACTATTACAAGGCTCACAGAGCAAATGAGTGCTGCCCACTTGACACACACACCCACACACACACACACACACACACACACTTCTAACCCAGGGATATAGGTCACCTCTTTTGTCAGTTCATCGTTATCCTCTTTCCTGTTTCTTTCTCTTTCACGCAACCTTTTAATAACATCTCATCTTTCATTATTAAACACTTGTGCCCGACACACTGATAAGATTCATTGTCTGTTTTAATAAATAATATTAGTTTGAAGTCTCCAGGCCGTCGCTGTCTGGATTGTGGCTCTTTTCTACTTTTCCTCACTTAATATCACAGCAGTTGTAAACATGCGTTTAATAACACATCAGGAAAAACCAATCTGCATCAGACTCATCTACAATAAACTAAGATTGAATACAGACATGATGCACTTTTTAAGTAAATTGATGTGAATAAATAAATGTATCACATATCGTATTTTAGAGTAGACCTTTCTCTTAAAGATGTTATTTACAGAGAACCAACAATTACCACCACGAGGAAGCGTTCGGCAAAAAAATCTTTACGCTCTAAGAGTCAGAACCAGGCTCAGTGTGAGCGACCCGTGGACAGTGTGTAGTATAATAGTGATATTGATGGTGATGCTAGTAGTAATCACAGGTTGTATATAAAGATGGACGACGTATCTCCACTTCATCTCACTGTTCAGAAATGGAACCAAAATATCCCAGATATCCGAACGCTGCCATCTTGTGCTGATGATGTCATTCGGAGCCACAGTGTGCAGCAGCGATTGTGGAGCTGAGCCACAGAATCGATTAAAAATACACAATTTAAGACTTTCAGTTTATTTTTTACAAATGTCTGACACCACAGACGTTTTTTTACAAGGAACGTGGATTGGTTTATTTTTTTGGGAAAATGTTTCCAGTCACCATATCAAAGACCTGGATGTTAATTTAATTTATCACGTGATATATAATGTTGCTTTAGATGCTGCAGCTCATGGGGAGAGGTGAAGGGAGGCCCTGTACAAATAAATATTAAATGAGTCAAACAAATTCACACACACACACACACACACACACACACACACACACACACACACAGCCAGGACTCCACCAACACACAGGTTAAAAAAAGAGGTGATGCCTCAGAGTGGTGCAGCTCCACTCAACTCATTATGACACACACACAAACACACACACACAAACACACACACACACACACTCCCTTCTT